CCACGTACTCATGGATTTCACAAGCTCTGTAAAACCAAGATATGAACAGCAGCAGTTCTCAGGAACAGAGGACTTCTGATGTGTCACATCCAACACAGCTCTTGTACCACCCTCATCACCAGAGGTGTGTGGCATTGCAGAAGCTTTGTTTGAAGGGTGCATCCCAGCGGAGAGGGCCCCTCATTGTTATCCCTGCTCCTCTGCCATAGAGCTCAGCATCACACAGCTCCTGGCCACAGTCCCTAGCACAGGTGCTGGGTGAAGCACTGCCCAGGACCCAGAGAGGCAAGTTCTGCACTTAGAGCAAGATGTGTTGCTCAAGCTAACCTCGAGGCGAGTGCGAGACAGGCAACTATCCCTGTCACCACAGACACTGCTGCTCCAGTGTTCATCGCAGGCTCACACCTCCCACAGCTGCCACAAAGCAAATGCAGGAGTCAGAAAGTGAGACCGATCCTCCCAAATAACAGCTCTGCTGCATTTCCTAATAACTTTCTCTTTCTGACAAAGCCAGTCATTTCCCATCCAAGCTGAATGTGATTCTTGTGCCAGATGAGCCCAGACTGACAGAAGTTAATTTTCCACTAGTAAGTAAATGTCCAAGGAGAGCAGAACAGCCAAACAGGGGTCTGAGAAATTATGAACACAATTAGAAGATGCCTAATGCAATTCACACAATTCCAAAATGGCAATTATTCTATCTAGCAAGTAATCTTTTTACAGAATTTGACTAGACTAGATTTATAAAGTTTTGTCAGCCAGGTCACCCCAGGAAGCGTTCCTAATATAGAACAGCCAGAAGATGTTTTTGTGAGTACAGCCTGTTCTGACTCCCTCAAATAAAAGTTCTACAAGTCAAATTTTTGTTACACAAACACTTCTGCAATACAGATCCAAGTCTAACATGAGATTTAACACAAGTTCTCATACCTGTAAATGCTGGTGCTTATAACATAACATGCTGACAACAATTTTGAGTGTCAGTTCTTTCTGGGATAATCCACTCACATACACAGTGTGACTGTATTCTCTGATGCACACACATACTACTGAAACCTGGATTAGAGCAAGAGTTTGCAGCAACATCAACAGTTTCTATGCAAAACCATTCCATGAAGGTACTGTCATCCTCCCAAAAATGAAGCAAACCTTCCACTAGGCTTGTTTCCGAAGAGCTATTAAGCAAAGGCAGTTTGTGCTCAAGGAAGATAAGGACACTTTCTGAAGGAACTGGTTTGGCTAGTCAGCTATCTTGCTGCTAAAGCCAGCATATCCCAGCGATTTCAGTGATACATGGATACCTAAATGCAAAAGTCAGCCCTGAGGATCATAATGGCATTGTGCGACACTCCCCAAAAGTCTCTCTTTATAAATTAACAAATAAATTACAACTGACTACTCTGATTGTAAAGTCTCCAGGGCATTGATCTTGATTTCCTATTTATCTGCAAATCTCTTAATATACTCTTGATGCAAGAAATTACACATTTGTATTTAGTAGCACTTCAGCATTTAGTCTGCTCACTACACACACACACTTTGCTGAGAGGCCAATCTCCCTTGTAAAATTTTGCACATAGTCACAATATTTTGCAGATTACCTGAATTAAGGAGATGATTTGCTAGCATTTTACCTTCCCTTCACTGCTCTTAATGATGAATTTTGGGTTTTGTTCTCCACTGAGGCACTGGAGTAAAAGCAGCTCTACACTCAACACTATTTATTTATTTCTATTATCTTAGCAAATTGGGCCATATCAGTATCTAAGTTTCCATTTCTCTTACTGTATTTACCATCATGACTGCACAGATTGATTTTAGTTTGCAAATCCAAAAATGTTTGGTCATTTACCAAAGAAATAGAAAATAATAAATGGTTGTACAGACAAGACCTCACATAATAAATACCTACACAAACATACTACCAGCTCCTGTCCACACAGAAAATTCCCCTTGTGTCAGTGGTAATACAAACACAGGAATGAGAGAACAGTGTACCAGCTCTCCCGGGACTTTAACAGGAGTATGAGGCATCCTTCACCTGGTACCAGGTAGACAGAGAACACTGCTGACTCCTCAGCCACCCTGTGGATGTGTGGGCAGCCCCCTGCTCCTGGGAGGCCCCCATCGCAGGCACAACTCACAGGCTACTGACAGACCTCTGCTACACAGAGCAGCAGCCAGGTTACACTGGAGTGCATCTAAAAAAGCATTGGATGCTTGCACGGAACCGGATCAAGCTCTGCACAATCCACAAAGACTCATCCACTTGTAGGCATCTGTCACAAGTGAGCATGGAATAATACACAGTGCAGAAACTACAAGACAATACTCAATATAAGTACACACACAGCCCACACGTAAACACTGCACAGGATATCAGACAAAAATCTTTTACTTCACATAGACATGAACACTTGGATACCCTTAAAGAACTCAGAACTCTCTGTATAAGTCTCCAGGTACAGAAAGGTACCACAGCCCACTCCAGCAGCTCCGAGCCGCCTGGCACGGCTGCCTGCACACTCCCGACACGGAGCACACTCCCATCCCACAAGGGCTGCAGCTACAGATCAAAACTACAGATATAAAACCAATATATAGCAACTAAAAGCAATTTGCTGAACCGTAGCACTGTCACTGAGCACTGGCACACAAAAAGAACACGGGTCAAATGCATCCAGTAAGTGGCATGCCAGCTATCACTGTATTTATCTCAGGTACCACCAAGCAGGCCTCCGGGTAGATTAGTGGAAATCTGGATTAGTTCCACCGTGCTCAAGGTGGGCCAACATCAGAGCAGGTACATAGAGGTGGGTATTGATCCCTGTGATGAGAGTACTTCACTTTTGAGCAATGCTGTTTGGTTCTGGAATATGTTCAATTAGGCTTGTTTGTATCTTAATGATTACAGTGTTACAATAAAACCAGTTTTCTCTCATCCATCTTCAAGAAAATTAATTCTACAATTTTGGGAGAAGATACAATTGTATTTAAATTTCCATTCAGACATTTTGTTGATTGGATTTTTTAGGCTGATTCTGATGTTCTTCTAACAGCTGCCTTTTCTTTTCTTTTTTTTACCTTTTCTTTTTTTGAGACCACTCCATTTGGTAACAGAACAAATCAGGTTGAAGTTTTAAGAAGTGTCATTTCACATGCGATTTGAACTTGCAGAAGTGTTGCATATATTGATGACAGCAAGCTTCCTCTCAGCATTTCTCTGAATTCTGATGCTAGGTCATATCATTTGACCAAGGAGGCAGTCCCGAACATACGCTGATCCTCTACTACCTGCTGGACCTGTTGCTTCAAATCAATAATGCACAATTCTCAAATGCTGCTTCATTTTGTGCCTCTGAGTAATATCCTTGCTTATCTTCAAGTGTGGGGAGACGTTAATGAAGTCCAATCAATTGATTAATGCTTTCTGAAGAAATCCTTCTGCCTCCACCTCTGCCACTGAGCCTCCAGCTCTTACCAGAGGAACAGTTACTTGCTGACACAACATCCTGAGAATAACCTCCATTGGATTTATCACGTAGCAATTGATTATTTAGTTATCACCTCCAAAACTGGCAAGTTTATGAGACACAGAATTAAACCTTATAAACAAGGTATTTCTCCTCACCCTTAGCATACTATACAGGGCATGTGCACCTGAGACTGCACCTCAAAAGACAGGCAGAGCAGATGGGAGGCACTTTACTTCTCATCACCTTCAAAGGGTGAGGGAAAAAAAATAAATGAAAACCAGGAAAGAAAAACTGCCCATGTTACATCAACAACAGGTATGAACTTGATTTCTGGAACAAGAGAATCTTTCCGCTTTTTAAAGGTTGTGCAACTAATTCTTTTGGATGGGGTGTTCCTCACTTTCAGGGCGGCTTTACAGTCCACAGTCACGAAAGACTCTAACTCAGTTGCTCTAAGCCATGCAATCAGTCCTTCTAGAAAGTAATAGTTCCCTTTTCCCACTTTTTCTTTAAAAAGAATGAAAGGAAAAAGAAGAAAAACCAAACCACCCAAATGTGCATTTTTTCCTCTGGCTGGCAGATTTCCAAGATTAAGAGGACTGCTCTCCGGCTGGAACGGCAGCCGGGGCCTGCTCTCCAAACTCACAAAAGAGAACACCACACACAGAGAAAATGTGACGCGTCTGACGGGCCAGAAACGTCTTCTCACCCTCTGAGAGAGCTTCTCCAATGAAGAAGGAAAGCCCGAGCCCCCGCGGCAGCCCCACGGCCCGGCCCCACAGCCGGACCCGCCGCGCTGTTCCCACGCACCGGCGGGACGGGACGGGACGGGACGGGACGGCGGCTCCTTCGCGCCGGGTCGGGCAGGGATAAATCGCTGCTCTTTCTGATAGCTGGGGAATCAGAACCCACACGAAGTTCCCCTTTTATTCAGTCACCCCCTCCCCAGGTGTATACTTCCTTCTACTATTACTACGACTGTTTCTGAGCAGGACAAGCGGAGGTGTCCGGGTCAGAGGGACAGCGGGTTGGTGACCGGAGCGGCGCTGACTCGGGAGCCCCGCGGCTTCTCCCCGGTGCCGGGGAGCCGAGAGCGGCCGTGCCGTGCTGGGCTGAGCCGGGGAGCGCTCTCCGGGGAGCGACTGGGAAACGTGGGAAGGGGGGAAGAAGAAAAAAGAAACACTAAAGAAGAGAAGCACAACCGATGAGATGTGCCAAGGCTTATTCCCTTTTATTTCCTCCACCCCCACAAAAGAAAATAAGCCAAGAATCAGGAAGTCAGGGCTGCGTGATCGCTGCTATAGGTTGGGTTTTCTCCGCATTTCTCCCCTCTCTCTGTTTTTGGGGTGGGTTTTTTTATTTTGATTTGTTGTTTTTTTCTTAGGGAAATGAGTAGTTGGGACTTTCCCTCCGCCTCTCCCCACGGGAGGCCGCGGCACGCAGCCGCCCGCAGCCCCGGCTCCCTGGTGCCCGGTGCGCAGCAGGCAAAGAGCGGCGGGACCCCGCACCCCTCCGGCCCCCTACCTTTCTTTCCCTCCACGGCGAGGCAGAGAGCGAGGCGCCCCAGCAGCAGCAGCACCAGGACAGCGGCGCCGCGGGGCCCGGCGGCAGCGAGGGGGCTGCGGCCGCCCATGCTGCGGGACCGCCGCTCCCTCGGCGGGGTGCCTGAGGCTCGGACGGGACGGGCGCACGGGGGATCCGCGGAGCCGCTCCTGCTCCCCTGTGCTCCTCTCCCGCGGCAGCGATCCAGCGATCAGCTCCTCTCCGGCGCTCTGCCCTGCGCGGCTCCGAGCAGCATGCTGGATCTGGATGGAGGGCGGCCGTCGAGGGCTGCGCGCACACGTGCGTGCCCCGCTGCGGGCGGGCTGCTGCCTTCCTCCTCCTCCTCCTCCTCCTCCTCCTCCCACCTCTGCTCCTCCTGCTGCAGGCGGCGGCGGGCGCACAAGGGCTTGCGGAGCGGCTGGAGCCGGCTGTGGGACGGGGTGCGCCCGGCTGCGCTCTCCACTCGGTCGCGGAGCGCAGGGGCTCCCTCTGGGGACGCCAAGGAGGAGGAGGATTGGGAGGGAGCAAGGAGGAGAGGGGAGGAGAATCCGGCAGCGCCGTCCCCGCCGAGGTGGAGAAGGGGCGGGCTCCCCACCTGTCCCGGAATATCGGATGAGAGGAGGTGGGAGCGGGGACGAGGTAGTTCAGTCGTTCCTCCTTGCTCGGGAGGGTGTGTGTGTGTGTGTGTGTGTGTGTGTGTGTGTGTGTGTGTGTATGTGTCTGTGGGTGTATTTTCTACTTCCCGGCAGTTTCTGCCCGGCAGCTGCCCAAGGCATGAGCGTGCCTTTGCGGCACCGCTCGCAGAGAAGCGGCGTGGCCCTCATGCAGCTCCTGCCCTCCTGTCGGGGATGGTGGGGAGCAGAGGCTCACAGCAGCGCGGGTGTCCGGGGGGTGCAGCAGAAGCGCTGTCCCGGCCCGTCCCTCAGGGAGAGCCGCGTTAGGGCCCGTCCCGTCCCTCAGGGAGAGCTGTCCCGTCTCAGCGCCAGGGAGAGGAGTGCGGGCCAGGGAGAGCCGAGGTGTTTCACTGGGGAAGACGCTCCGGAGGTTTGATCGACGCCCCAGGGGCGCATCGCCGGGCTCCGGCCTCTTTTCTGTCCCCCTGAAATCAGCGGAGCCCTCTCGGCCTCTGCGAACAGTCCTGCTCTCCTTCTGATCATTTTGCTCCCAATACTTGTAAGGCCAAGTGTGTGCGTGGAATGAAACAGCGCAGATTTAATTTAGCGCATTTAGCTCACAGATAGCAGGGTCCGTGTGTGCCCGTAGCGCTTCTGTTCCCCTGGCGCCAGCGCTGAGAAAGTGCTGCCTTGCTCCGCGCAGCGAGTTATTTAATAAACACAAATAACACAAATGTTCCTGAGGTGCTCCAAGTACATCCACAGGCATAAAGCGAAAGAGTACCTGTATGGTGCTGCTTTCCGTCAAGAGGAAAACCCAAGCTATTCAGGATTCATTAAAATATTCCTAGTTTTTTTTTTAACAGGCTGTTTCTCTGGAAAGCGGCAGGAAGCACTGTCCTGTCACTCAGGTATGTAAATAGGACACAGACGTGCCACTTGTCTCTTGGGCTGGGGTTTCTCCGAGTAAATCATGATTCAACACTCAAACCTGCTGAACGCTGGTGGCAATTTCTTCATATAGCTCTTCTGAGGGCTTAGGTTACACAGTCAATAGGATGTGAAGACTTAAAACTGCTGTGATTAAGTGGGAACTCCAGAACGAAACCAATAATGACATGAGATTTGGGAAATTCCGTGCTAAATGTCTGTGACTGTCACTGGAGCACAATAGATTGCAAAATAGTCACTGAGTGTACCTTGACTTTTCTCTGTTATGCATGTTTCTCTGAGAGAGCCATCACCCTTTTCCTACCAGTCAAATTCCTCTGTAAAATCTTTTTTCTTCTGACAGTTTACCTAGCCGCGGTCCTAACTAGGCAAAGAAAACTCCCATCCCGTTCACACAACCTAGCACAAAGCCCGATGCCTGGACACATGCCTTTAATCATTTATTAAGATAAGCTGCATTACAAGACAGCTTTCACACGCTGTAGCTGACATTCTGGTTCAATTATATTTTGTAAATAATGTGAAAGGTGTACTTTGAAGTAAACTCAGACATTAACAACATCCGAGGAACTCTATTAATGTGATTGGTTTCATGGATGTAACTGAGGGCAGAACCTGAGCTTACAATACAATATTAGCACAAATTTGCTTCAAAGATTCTCACACAGTGCAACTTCATAAAGACTATGTGTATATGGTTAAATTTAATTAATTTAGACAAATAGGAGGATCTTTAAAAGTGAGAGGGACCTAGGAAAAAGAGATCAGTTTCTAGGGAGATAAGATTTGCAAAGCATCCTCAGCACACACCAATGATTACAGCTTGCATTATGATAAAGGAAATGCAATTAAGACAACCAAGAAATGAACTTCAAATCAGTTCTGCAGGTAAATAATAAATAAAAATGTGCCCCTAGACACACACACACTGGGCATCAAGCTACCAATATAGAAGGTAATAGGATTTTTAAAATCTAGAAAAAGAAAGGATTCAAAGGGACAAATGAAAACCAAACTAAACATAGGAAAAAAAGAAAAACATTTTTGCATGTGAATTCAGTGGAGAAACTGGTCCAAATCTTGTCCTAACATGCTGAAGAACAAATACTTGCTTTGCAGAATTTTTGTGATTCTACCTGATATACTGAGCAGGAACATTTCATACTTGCTCCACTCCCCCCCTACCAGTCATGTACTGCCCTGACATAAACAGACATAAATTCAAGTAAACTGAACACCTCCTTCATTGCTTACACGGTGAGCAAGGTGAGACTAGGCAAATTCCCCTTTAAATTCTTTCCCACGTTGCAGTTACCCACTACAGGAGATCTCATCTGCTGCTGGCAGTGCAGTACTGCTGAAGGGGTGCACAGCAAGCTGCTGTAAATTCTGTCCTCCCACCTTCGTGAGCACAAATGTGTTACTTTTGTGCCATTGTGCTCTGCTTGCCAAGGTCACAAGACACATAAAGGAACTCTAAGACTGAAGTTTGAGAAGCTTACCACAGGCAGGAATTTCAGGCCTTTTTTACACAACTGAGCAATTTCTGAAATGGTTTGAATTCAAACATGACATTTTCCCTAAACAGCTGGTTACATACCCAGTGCTGTTTTGGTATAAGTCCTTCAAAGCCAACATCAATTTTACCAAGGGCGTGCAATATTCATGTTGCAAAATTTTATTACTTATTACTGGCTGCATGTGTGCATGGATCAAAGGTCATGGAACAAAGGCCAACCATTTGATCATCAATTTTTAAATTGATAGTTCATAATGAAAATACTAAACACAACATCTCTCTTCAGCTTTCGTTTGATTTGCTTACTTTATCATATGTGTGTATATAGATATATATATATATATGTGTGTATATATATATGTATGTATGTATGTATGTATCTTGTCTTCTATATATTAAGCATAAACATGCTGATCTATGAAGTGGAGATCATGTAATCTGGTAGTTCTTCCACATGAACATACTTCTGCATTGCAAAATTTGACTCACCACCACTTGCCTGCACCACTGAGCTGGTTACTTTGCCACACATGGAGAGAAGTAGCTGTAAGAGGATGAATAACTGATTTCCCTATCAGTGGAAAAAGCAGGATTAATTCTCCTATCTCTTCCACATTTCATCCAAACAAAATAGAGTTTCAAAATCTTCTCAAGAGTAAAAAAATCCTTGCTGCTGGATCCTTTCCTTACATGAAAAAAAAAAAAAAGAAGTTTTGGTTTTTATTATCCACGAAGGGTCAGCATTTGCTGCTCAAAAAAATTTATCAGCAACCATTCCTCAGTGGTGATGCTGTTCTTCTCTGTGGGTTGTGAAAGTGGTTTTAAAGGGCAGGCCTTTTACTGGAAGAGAAGAAATGAAATAGAGGTGAATTAGCGGAGTTTTACAATCTGGTTTGCTCATATTTTGCATGGTGTTTGAGATTGTCAACATTGTATTTTGCATTGTAGTTTGTGTTCTATGACTGCTCACTCAGGTTTTAAAGCAAGGGCTGAGATAAAAATTCATAGAGCTTTATGGCACTTTGCATGTTGAAAATATTGCACACACATTAAGTAATTTATCTTTGCAAATCTCCTGTAAAGCAGGTTAGTAGCTATCATTTCCATTTTATAGATGTAAAATAATTTGCCTTGGGCGGAGCGTTAGTGGTAGAGCCAGGGTTATCATTCAAGAGCTCTATTTAAACCTTGGATCATGCTGTTTCTCAAGAGTGTCCCTGATGAAAGTGGATGGATTTTGACACAGATTATCTTTCTCTCTTTGCTTAACACTGTTCACAGAATCACAGACTATGATGAGTTGGATGGAACACATCAGGATCATTGAGTCCAACTCCTGGCCTTGCAGAGGACACCCCAAGAGTCACACCATGGGCCTGAGAGCATTGTCCAAGCACTTCTTGAACTGTGTCAGGCTTGGGGCCGTGACCACTTCCCTGGGCAGCCTGTTCCAGTGCCCAGAGACCCTCTGGGGGAAGAACCTTTTCCCAATATCTGACCCAAACCTTCCCTGACACAACTCCAAGCCAGTCCCTCAGGTCCTGTCACTGGTCACCACTGGTCACCACAGAGAAGATATCAGTCTCTGCCCCTCCTCTTCTGTTCATGAGGAGATTTTAGCTGCAATGAGGTCTCCCCTCAATCTCCTCAAGGCTGGACAGACCAAGTGACCTCAGCTGCTCCTCATACAGCTTCCCCTCATGGCCTTTTACCATCTTTGTTGCCCTCCTTTGGAAGCTCTCTAATAGCTTTGTATCTTGCTTACACTGTGACACCCAAAACTGTCCCCAGCACTCAAGGTGAGGCCTCCCCAGTGCAGAGCAGAGCAGGACAATCCCCTCCCTTGCCCAGCTGGTGATGCTGTGCCTGATGCACCCCAGGACACGCTTGGCCCTCCTGACTACCAGGGCACTTCTGACTCACATTCAACTTGCCATCGACCAGGTCCCTCAGATCCCTCTCCATGGCACTGCTTTCCAGCATCTC